GGAGTTGAAGTCCACCCATCTTAAAGTTGCCAAGGCTGACAGCTGGCAGGTCACTTCCAACCATCAACCATCGTGGAGCTGAACAAATGGGAACTGTATAAAAAGCCAGCATGGATGAGTGTCTCAGAATTGTTCCAGTTCTCCAAGTTATATTGGTCCAGAATGACGATGCTGTGCAATCCAGGGGAAAAAAAATGTAAATTAATTTTATTTGTAAAATGTGCACTGTTTAAAAACAACCAAAGGCAATCAAAAGAAATAGAAATCACAGTAAAAGTATGATAAACCATATGGTGCAGCTTTGGAAGACAAAACAAACGAAACAAAAAACAAAACTAAGGCAGAGAGAAAGTAGGTAAAAATAACTGCTCATAATTTCAAGGTATTTACGCACACTTGACTTACTGACAAGTTTTAATATATGCTGTCAGTGAATATTTTATTTGGTGAATTAGTAACTTTTGGCATGAATGGAAGTGAAACCCGCAAAGGCCCTTTCTTGTATTCAGTAATATAATCAGTAGATTAACTGCAAATAAATCAGAAATAAATCAGCTTATGGGCCAAGCACTGTTTTTAATGAATAATTCTTGGCGAAGAATTTTAGATCTTGGGCTTAATTGCTCAAGATAGGCTGTATCAATAGAAAATACACCCTCCTGGGAGGAAAGGAAATGTCAGAATTAAGTCCAAGGATATCAATACTGGAGAAAAGAAGGGGAGATATAAGCAGTCATTAGATTGCTGAGCTACATCTTAAGACTGGCAAGCTGCAAATATAGGTAGTCCTCAACTTACAACCATTAGCTTAGTGACCATTCAAAGTTCCAGCAGCACTGAAAAAGTGACTTGTGGCCAGAAATATGGAGTTTTACAGGTAGTCTTTGACTTACAATCACAATTGAGCTCAAAACTGATGTTGCCAAGCATGACATTTTACAACTTTTCTTGCCACAGTTGTTAAATGAATCACAGCAGTTGTTAAGTTAGTACCATGTTTGTTAAGTGAATCTGGTTTCCCCATGGACGTTGTTTGTTAAAAGGTCACAAAAGGGGATCAAATGACCCCCTGGACACTGCGCCCATCATAAACATGAACCAGTTACCAAACATCCAAATTTTGACCAGGTGACCATGTGGACCCTGCAATGGTCATAAAGTGTGACAAACGGTCATAAGTCACATTTTTCAGTGTCCCTGTAACTTTGAATGGTCACTAAATGAAAGATTGTAAATCCAGGGCCACCTATACTTTGGGCCGGCATACAAGAGGAGATACTGTCACACATTTCCACCGATAAGTAAGACACTGGTGGCACAGTGGTTAGAGTGCAGTATTGCAGGCCGACTGCCAGCTGACTGCAATTTGGCAGTTCAAATCTCACTAGGCTCAAGGTGGACTCAGCCTTCCATCCTTCCGAGGTCGGTAAAATGAGGACCCAAATTGTTGGGGGGCAACATGGCTGGCTCTGTAAACCGCTTAGAGAGAGCTGCAAAAGCACTGTAAAGCGGTATATAAGACATAAGTGCTGTTGCTATAGTGTCAAAACTCCCCTCCCACCCAGTTTTTCACCCAACTGAGTCAGATTAAAGCAACGAGGAGGACCCCACCTGGAGCAAGCCTTCCTCTGCACTTCCCTTTTACAAGGGCAGGGAGGCTCAACCGAGCAGCTGCTGCCTACGGGATCCAGCTCCAAGCAGCCGCTTGGTTTCATAGAGAACATCCTGAAGTGTCTTCACTACGGGGTAAAATCTGAAGCTCGGCCATGAGTGGAAGGCAGGGAGAAAGGGAGGAGGGGGGAGAAAGAAGGGAAGAGGTGGGAAGTGGCTCTGCTCACACCCCAGCCACACTACAGGTGAGAGAGGAGACGTTACTGTAGTATGCCGTGGGGGCATTAATTAAACCTTTTGGAGGGAGGTGGGGGAAAAACACGCCCTTATTCCCTTAACAAGAAAAATCAAGCCTAGAATTTGACACCAAAAGGCCCTCCGCTATTTCCCTTCTAAAACTTGTCACCTTTGCACTGCCTGCAGGGAATGACACAAAGACCACTCAGGAGCCGTTCGAGGCTTCCCTGTTGAACAGCTCCTCATTAGGTCCTTGCAAGATGTCAGACTTCCAGATTTGAACAAAAAACATGGGTAAAAAAAAAAGAAGAAAAGTGCCAGACCTGAAACTTCAGGAATTTTGCATGCACATAGTTGGGAGCAAAAATGTCCAACATTCTCACTGGTCAAAGCGGATTGCGTATACAACCACAGTATTGGTGGACACGGTTTCATCAGGGTCAACCGTACCACCCCCTCCCCCCAAAAAAAGATCTCTCATCCCCACGGAAAACACATGCTTCTTTTTCCAAGGCAATTAATTGGCAAATGGAGCCAGTTATAATTGTAGACAGAACGTGCCCTTTTCCGACAGTTTTCATTAGAAAGATTCCAGAAGAGAAAACAGAGAAAGCAAAGGAACAGCAGAAGTGAACCAAGGGCAAAAGGCAGTGATGAAAAACCCACAACTTTCAGAAATAAAAAATATGGTGCTTCATACTTTGTTAGCCTCCCATATCTGGATTCAATTCTTAGATTGAAAGCCCAAAATTACATGAAGTTTCCTGAGTTATCCTTTGAAAAACAATGGACTAATAGCAACACGTTCCAGGACCAGATAGTACCCCAGCTAGAAGGGAATATCTGTAGCTCAGGGTTGAAGTGAAGGGTTCTTGGTGGCTTCTGAGCTTGGTTGTTTTCTTGAAGATGTTTTTTGCAGGTGTCAGCACTGATAATATTACCTAGTTGGGTAATGAAACGTCTGCAACCAAGCAACCAAGCTCAGAGATCAGCAGGGGGTTGGACTAGATGACCTACAAGGTCCCTTCCAACTCTTTAACCCGAGAAACTCAGCTATTTGAAATCCAATCTGAAAACCTGGCCTTCTTCATCTTGCCCCCACTGAATGATAGTCCTTCCTTAAATCACCCTCAGCCCAATTATTTCCCTTTTATCTCAGATCAACCACATAGGTCCGAAACAACAGATTTGGTCACTGTCAGAAGACTGTATTCCACTACATGGGCTCAAGTGCAAAGATTAAGCCCATCGTGTACAGCTGAGGCATCACATGGAACAAAATCGAGTGACATTTATCGTGTCTTTCTCTCTCTCCAAGATCTAGCTGTATATCCATCCAGCCATCCCAAAGCAGAAAGCCTCACCAAGCCCTTTTATACTTAAGCCAGCTCTTTTATCAGGTTCTTCTCTTCCTGGCTTGGCTTTCAATCATTGATGGAATTATTATTCCTGATTATGTTTTAAAGTCATCGCAGTTAAATTTATTCTAAACAATAAGGCTGCATTAAAAAAAAATATATCCTGAAAACACAGGCTCACTGAGTTGGAAAAGTCGATTTAGGTGATCAAATCCAGGTCCTTTGTGGAGGATTCTAAAATTAAAGCATAGCAACAGAATGTCTGTAAAGATGGAAACATCCTTTCCACAAAAAGGGGAAAGATGGAGAACCAGTAATTTACCTAACTGTCTCCTCTTTCCAAAGAATCAAATGTGTAAGAAGCTAAAAGGAAATTCCACTTTATGGGTAACTATGGCGGCAGATTTTTCCCACAGTGGGTTGCTTTACAGCAGTGGTCGCCAACCACTGGGCTGCAGCAAGAAAATGTTGGTGGGCCGCAGAGAAAGGTCACCCCCAGAGCACCCTCAAAGCAATTAATCCAGGCTGCGAGGGAACACAAGGCTGCACCGCCCACATGGCCTGCAGGAACCCTCCCCGCCCACTTACTCCTTACCTGGCAAACCTGCCTGTGAAATTGCTATTTTTCCTTTTTTTTTCCCCCCAACCATCAGGTGTTCTGCTGTGCCGGGAGATTTAGATTAGCTAGAAAGCAGGAAATCATTGGGTTTCTTGCTTTCTAGCTAATCTTTAGGTCTTCGCCTCTGCTTTTAAGCTTTCCTTAAGGACTGAAGCTTCTATTATTCAGTGCAGGTAGCTGATGGCAGAAAGATAGATCTTTGAATGAATCTGTGATTCTGTGAGCAACTCAATCTGCCTGCCTGCTTTGCCTGATTTTGGGTAAAAGTTGCTCTTTTTCATAAAAAAAATCAATATTTACATACATGGCGTTTTGTGAGTTAATTTTGTGAGTTTGCTTACTAGCAAATTTTATGAGTTTGCTTGCAAGCAAATTTTATGAGTTTGCTATAAGCAAATTTTATGTAAGACTCAGGTAGCCGATGGCAGAAAGATAGATCTCTGAATCTGTGATTTGGGGTAAAAGTTGCTCTTTTTTATAAAAAAAAATCAATAGTTACATATTTATAATATTTACATACAAGCCATGCCCAGCCAGTCACATGACCACCAAGCTACACCCACAAATTAGGCCACGCCCACAGAACCGGTTGTTAAGAAATTCAAATCCCTCTGTGTTTGTGTGTGTGAGAGAGAGAGGGGGGGGCGGGGAGAAAGAGAGGTTAGATCAGATCTCTCTCTCTCTCTCCCTTTCTCTCCCACCAACGTCAGCAAGTCACCGTCAGTCAAAATTTATACTAGTGGTCCCCAGGGTTTAAAATTAGGGAGTCTGCTGGTCCCTGAGGTTCAAAAGGTTGGTGACCCCTGCTTTACAGAAGCCTCTCATGAAACGTGCATTAAGAGTCCTTTCTGATCGCACAAAAGTAAAGACGCAAGATCCGAAATAGGAATAAAATATGTATGGCTCTAATGGAAGATTGCAAAAGACTCATGGAAGGATAGGCACCGAATGATGTTCGCCAGTGAGAAAGAAACATTCACAATTCACACAGTACTATTGGATAACATTGGACGTTACAAATAAAAGTAGTTGCTTCCTCTTTTGACACACACACACACACACACACAAACCCCCCTTCCACAGCCCACAATAAACAAACTTGCTTTTTCAATGAGCCAAAGAAAATCCATACGACGTTTAAGAAATAATGTTGGGGGGTTCATTCCCCTCCTTACCTCTGTGTCTGTTGGTGGTCTTGTCAAACATAAGCATGGCGTCTTCTACCTGCAAGACACAAGGACACCCTTGATTTAGAAGCCGTGAAATACAATCTCACAAATTGTGGAGCAATTGAGGGGCACTGTGAGCAATGTGACCCAGGGCGTCAAACCTCCTTTTTCTGCATCATTAGGTTAGGTACCAAAGACAAAACAATATTCATGGCACCCAGAGATCGATGGCATCGGTAAGTAATTCACTGTTATTACAAGAGTGTTGAAATTCTGGGTAGTTTATCTTCTTAATTAAACTGGGCTCTGTCTGTTGTGTCTCCCTATATTCCCTGACCTTGGATGCCTGATTTTGTCTTCTCACCAACAACTGTGAGAATGTTATCTTCATTCATTTCCAATTTTACTTTGCATCGCAGTATAGGTAGCAGTTCAGTGCAGTCCAGTTTGGAAAGAATTCAAGACAACATGTGCCTAGCAGTCTTGATCCCTGTTTCCACCTTTTCGACAGTCCTAATTTAAACTAAAGTTATGTTCTCCCACTATGGGAGCTTCAAGGCTGAATGGAAACAGGATGTCATACCTTCCTTTTACAGTTTTCCATTCCCTGTATGAGAGTCTTAGTGCATTTCATGGGGAAAGAAGTCTTACAATCATATACTTGCATCTCACCCAAACATTTCCCTGAGGCAGTGCCACAAAAATCATAAAGCCACTTTGCCCCCACATGCCTTAGCAACTTCTGCCACATCTATGAAAAACCATTTAAAAAAGTAATTTCTGTCCAGCCCAGCCCAAGAATGACTTACAACAATCCAGACAAAGTTCAGTTCATTATTTGTTCATTTCCAAATGACAGAATCTTGCCAGACTAAACCTTTACTATTCTTGCCCTAGTGCAGATACTCACACTTGGGAGATTCTAGGAAGTGGCTATCTTAATTCTCTATCTCTTTTCCTGTGTTGCCTCTTATCTTGCTCCCCTCCTTAGAATATGCTTCCTCCTTCCTGGGAAAATTCCACTTCACTTCAGACGTACACAACTCCAACAAGCCTTCTTTATTTGTTTTAGCCTCCAGTCCCCTAATCCACTGGCCCCCAACCTTTTTTGAACCAGGGACCGGTTTCACGATTATTTATTCTTCCACGGACCGGTACCTGAGTAAAGTGAGACTCCACCGCCATCAGGACGGCTCTTCGTTCGAAGCCGGCCCCCCCTCGACAAAACTAAGGCGCGAGCACCCAAACGTCGCTTTCCAACTGAAAAACCGGAAACACTTTCCAACCAAAAACCCGGAAGCAACCGAAAACCTGGAAGCGCTGTCAAAACAAGATGGCGGTGCCCAAGCTTTGCGGCCCGGTAAAAAATGATCCACAGACCGGTACCAGTCTGGGGACCGGTGGTTGGGGACCCCTGCCCTAATCATCTTGGTTGCTCTTCTCTGCCTCTTTCTAGAATCTCAACATCTTTTTTACATTGTGGTGACCAAAACTGGATGCATTATTCCAAGTGTGGCCTTACCAAAGCATTATAAAGTGGTATTAACACTTCACGTAATTTTGATTCTAGCTCTCTGTTAATGCAGCCTAGAACTGTGTTGGCTTTTTTGGCAGCCGCAGCACACTGCTGGCTCAACAAGATGCAGATCGGTGGTGGGATTCAATTTTTTTTACTACCAGTTCTATGGGCGTGACTTGGTGGGCGTGGCAGGGGAAGGATACTGTAAAATCTCCAGTCAGAGGTGGGATTTGCCGGCTCTCTGAACTACTCAAAATTTCTGCTACCGGTTCTCCAGAATTGATCAGAACCTGCTGAATACCGCCTCTGATGCAGATGTGGATGTTTCCTTCTGAAGGTCCAGTACCAAAAAGTTAGTTGGAGAACCAGAATCAAGTTTCTGCCAATGAGATCTTGAAGAACAGTGATGGAACAACAGTGATCCAACCAGTTGTGGTATACCTCTGTGGCAAGGTGACTGGAACCTGGGCTGCAAAACTCCAGAAAAGCCACGAGATGGCAGCAGCAAAGAACGAGAAATGCTTGTATTTCTTTGACTCAATTATCTCATCTTCACCTACATTTCTGCAGCCCAGGTGTGGTCAACCTACTTGGAAGAACTGGAAAGAAAGAAAGAAAGAAAGAAAGAAAGAAAGAAAGAAAGAAAGAAAGAAAG